AGACTTAGGGAAACGTTCAATTACGTCAGAGTGGTTGGCCTATAAACGTTCCACTAAGACAATTCAATTGATGAGTGGTTGGACATAAGAATTCCACCCAGACTAAGCTATGAATATGTTGGTAGAAATAATAACATACTGACAATAATGTCTAGGGGACCAATCAAATAGCACAAAAAGTTTGGTCCACATTTAAAAAATGAGATGCTTTTTGATAGGGTGCTGAAATGGCAACCCAGACAAACTGGCTCTGCCCATGCCACATTCGTTTCATCCACACTTTAAGTAATGCCTAATCTTTTAAAGAACGTTTGGGTAATTTTCTACAAATGTAAAGGTTCAGATAACAATTAACTCTTAAGTCTAATTTACTCATAATTATCCTCCCCGGATTGAACTCGGGTTTCCCTATCTCTTTGATTGAGGTTCTAAATAGGTAGGTGTTTGCTTGTTTCTTTAAGTTAAGGGAAGATTAATGAGACTGAACTATTTCTTTCACTCGGTTTTATTGCCTCATCAATTTCTTCTTTTTTGAAAGGTTAAGTAGGAATGATTAATGAGACTGAACAGGAAGGAAAGGCTCAACCGAAAACCTTCCTTGAACCGATATTCCCTTACCTAAACCTATTTACCTAACATTGTAATGCACCTCTTTGTCCTCTGTTTCTTATCACCAAAAGTTGGTTGTTTGTATTCTTTTTTGGCTATGTCCCCTCTTTTTGTGGATCTTTTATGCTTTATTCTTCCATTTAATTGGTTTATATTTGGAGCTGAATCTCATAATCAAGATTTCAGAACACACACACACCAAGGAACAATCCAAAATAAATGCTTAAATTAAAAGTGCCGAATAAAACTAAACTCACCACTGTAATGACATCTGCAGTGAATATTATTCCCATCACATGTTTCCAAGTGACCTACAACTCCGTACCACCAACCTGCAATGTACATGCCATATTTTACAACCCCTTAAATTAACTAACGACTCAAACAAAGCTACAAAAGGTTACAACAGTTCTATTAAGGAGTGAAGGCTTCTTGATATGATTACTTTTCTTTTAAGTATATTAATACGAAACAAAGTTCTTTTATAAGGAGTCAGAACAGGTAGAAATTCTATAAGATAATTCCAAAGCTGAAAATAGATCCAGGCTCAAGAACAAACCATAAGGGAAATCTTTGTTCTTTCTCCACTGTATCTCAATATGGTCACCAGGGAATAATTCGTTCAGACAGTCGGAGACATGAAGATTGTGCGGAGGAGTATCGATGGGTGGTGCTCTAAGCCTCTCCCATTCCACCCCGTTTTCTAGTGCGATTGCTCGCCTACCATGTGGAGGATACCTGTAACAAACAGTCCATTTACTACTACTGTAATGAGACTAAGTAAAAGAAAGACAGTAACAGCACGATAATTGCGCGATCGAGTTAGACAAGGGCAGTTCGCTTAATCACCTCGCTTGGAAGGTGTCCGAACGGGGATCATAGCAAAGCTCTGCATCATAACAAGACAACATGAAACCAACATGGCCATTCTGCATAATTGAATATGTAGATCAGGAAGAGCTAAAAACTTAATGATGAGAAGGGGTGAAATCTGAATACATAAAAAAGAAGTTAGTTAACAAATTGAAGTATATGATAACTAGTTGTTTACCTCACGGTTATAGACCTGCGCCGGGAACCAGAATTTGCCAGTTTCAAGAGCAAGATACCAAGCCATGATAGAATCAACCGGTATAGAATTACGTGGCGTGTTCTTGTCATGAACCTTTGATCTAATCCATGAAAGAGACCAACCAAAGGAAAAAAGTCTAATTAAGCTCCTTTGATTGTTTTGCTTAAGGTTACCCGCACCCGCTCTAGAAGCAAGATGCCATTGCCACTCTCTGTAAGCAGCTTGACCAATAACTTTACCCCATTTTCTTTTCATGTGCTTCTCCCAAAGATGGTCACTTATGCATCTCTCTCTCAATGATCTACAAACACCCGCCATATTGCAAAGAGCATCAGGTGGAAGACTCTCTAGAATGCATTCTAAAGCCAATTCCGGCAAGTCCAACACGGACATCGCATCACTTTCCTCAACATTCTCTACTTTCGAAAGATGCTTCTTTTTAAAGGATATATTGGATGGAATACTAGATATATAAGTACAAAAACTATTCTTGATCACCTTGTAGATGGGAAGGAACGATAATTCTTTCCCTAGCCAATGGGACAAGAACCTCATCTCACCTGCCCATGATGGGAGAGGTTTGAGAAGGAGGGACCTTAAAAAGAAAATGAAGGAAATACATGTGAGGAAGAAACAAAGAAGCATCACAAAAGAGGTATTTATCAAATAAAAGACAGTGGAAAAGATCAATGGAAGAACCAACTGTGGGAAGAACACAATGGTTAACAAGGGGAAAAGGTAAGCTTAGTATGGGAGCCTGAGGCACATTTCAGATGAGGGTTCTAATCCGATCAAATAAGCCCACCAACCCCAAAGGTGGGCCTCCTCGCCAAACTCTAACAGAGCAAACTAGAGGTGCCTTTAGCCACCTCACAAGACAAACTCTGGTGTTGAAACTTCGGCTTAACTTACAGCTTCCTCAGCTTCTCAATCTTTCTTCCTTTAAAGCATTCAAACGTAGAAAACGCCCAAACCCAGCTGTTATTCAAATAAAAATCAGGGGAGGAGAGTTAAATAGGTTGTATTGGATGAACCCACGAATGAAGCTTGTCGATTAAGTGGGGCAGTCTCAAATCAATTGTGGTTTTCTGACACCTGGAACCCCAAGAGGGGGAAAATTAAGGATAATAAAGCTAAAGAGTCTAGATGCAATGACCCATATCTCCAAAATCTCTGATTTCGTTTCTTAAAAAAGATTTAAACCAAAAGAATGAGGTGGGCAAACAAACAGATCGGGGCTGTTGGGTTAGAACAGAAGCCACAGATGGGTGCACCCAACAACTTAGAACTGTAAGAAATGTAGAAATTACACGCGAGACAAGGACACTGAGATCTTGAACTAATGGCAACAAAGAAGAAGAGGTAAAAAGAGATGGATTTGAGGATATGATGATAATGATGATGAAAGTGATGAAGAATTTGGGGTCCTTTATTCTCACCTCAAAACGAAGTCGTCTTCCTCATCAAAAGACCATCAAATCCTTCACCACCACTCACAGAGCTGTCAATCCCCCTCAATCCCTCTCTTGAGCAAATAATCAAACAGGTTGTGTGCAAGACCAAAGGAGAAAGGCAAGTATTTAATGGGCGTTCGAGGCTCGAAGAAGGAGGAGATTTTTGGAGGGTATTAATGTGTGGATACAATCAAACGAAGTAATAAACCTTAAAAACTCAATAATTAAAACCCATCTCTCTCATTCTTCATCGCTCTCTTTCCAAGATTCCCTCTCTTCCTTACAAGTTGGAGCAAGATCCGTTTAACCAGAAAAAATTTCCGATTCCGTGATATTATTACTGGCAGGTTTGGGCTTTGTTCCCCTACGTTCAGTATCTCCATCGTTACACCAATTACATGTAGACACGTCACACGAGGTTAAAACAGATCACCAGCGTTAGCCTTTTGGATTTGTGGGCCAAGTCAACTAAGTTATTAATATATATTTTTTTTAATAAAAGCCCGTTCCATATATAATTATCGATTTCAAAATTAGCATAATTAAGCCCTGATTAGCTATAAGTTAAAATTTTAATCCACTAAAAAAATAATTATTTAAATTTTAAATATTGCACAAACTTAAAAGTTAGATTCATTTTAAAATGGTAAGAATTTGTAATTTTACCTTATTATAAAATTTAAAATTTATGTATGTACATAAATAAAAAAAATTCAAATTCAGAGATAAAAGCTAATATTTTAATGTCTGAAAATAATAATTATTTAGGTGCATTATTGGTTATTTGCACGTGCAGATTTGGTTCTGTATTTTTATTCGTGCAATTGGATTGTAATTAGCTCAAATGTCTTATCAAGTCACATAATATAATTAAATGATGTCACATACGTAACGGATTGAAATTACCAAATTAGCCTCAAACAGTCTGCTCAAATTTTCAATTGTTGGACTTTGCTTTGCCTTTGAAAAAATAGAAAGAAAAAAAAGCTGAAATTTTGATTATAAGATTCAATCTCTCGTCTTCTTCCAAAAACGTCTAATCAAAATATATCATATAATCTTCAAAAATTAAGCACGTGTAAATTAAAATATTTAATTTTATTTAACATTAATTAATAATGGATATAACAATTTAATTTATTTCAAGTTACTATTCGACACAATTTTTTAAATTCCAAAATTTTAATGAAAATTCTTTTTAGTAACTAAAATATATTCAATTAGATAGAATATTTTATTCCATAAGTTTTTTTTTTTTTATTTTTTTTCCATTTACTTAATTTATAGAGATCTTTTTTTTTTTTTCCTTTTTTAAGTCGATTCATGGTAAAATAATAATAATAATTTTATATGTGAAATAATTGGAAACTAAAATATAATTGGAAAATAAATAAATGAATATAAGGAAAGTTGTAAAATAAAAATAAAATAAAGTGGGGATTTAAATATGGTGGTCTCCCTTTTGGCCACTTCATATTATGTCTCTTCTCCCACGTTTTAAACATTACATTATATTTGTTAAAAAAAAAAAACATTACATTATATTTGCGGTTACCCAATTTCACACGCAACCCCATAAAAGAAAACCGCCAATAATTTAATAAATCTAAATCTAATATGATATATCTATATATAATCCATCACACGCAACCCAATAAAAGAAATCCACCTAATAATAGAAATACTAATAGGTTGAACAGCAAATGACATGGAGGAAGAAATTGGGCCTGGCCCAATTGGTGCATCTCTAGACTCCATTTTGGGCCTAAAATTTGGTGCTGGGCCGAAATAGATCCACGAAATGGGCCTTTCTGGTCCAACAAAGCTCCCATTTCCCCAAATAATTATAATATTATATAATATAAATATGAATGAGACTCGAAATAACTTACTGGGCATAACTATATGAAAGTAGATATCCTACAAGCTTTCACATCAGAGATGACAGCAAAAATCTAAGCAACTGTGAAAGAATTTAAATTAATATCCTAACCGCAGACTGAATGGCAGATAATTCTTGTTCCCCAACTTTCTTCCATATCCCACCAATCAACAAACGCCCTTTAACATCTTCAGCTGACTCAACATCATCTGTTTCCTTCATTTTCTTGACAGTACAGCTATCAAGATGCTGAATATCAGAACTGGCTTCCCTCTTGTGGCAACAGTTGGTGATTTCACAGTTCTCTTTGCTTCTCAGCTCTTCCGAACCTGGTTTGTTCTCGGAATCGAGGTCAAGAACAGGGAGCCGACCTGAACAGCCAATCGAACGAGGCAACATACCAATGGGACATGGAGTCCACGAACTTACCACAGTCCATCTGCTGGAACTTCCAACATTACCATCTACTGGGTTCGTCGCCAAGTTGTTCTTTCTTTTGTGGAGTTTAATGATCTCGAGTTTCCGACTTGCTTCGCGGAGCGACTCGGCCTGGTTGAAACTGTTTTCAGACGTGGTTTGGTTGGGATTTTCTTCGTCCAGTAAATGTGAAACTGGTTGATTGAGAAATGGTAGTTTCTTCAGTTTCTTCACTAGAGAGCTGTTATCCAACAAGTGTGCAAGATCAGTGGCTGAATCCATAAGCCGCTTGTTGTAAGGAGCTGATACCACGAGGCATTTACGTAGCAACTCCATAAGAATACCTTCTGGAGTGTGTTTTCCAGAGAAAACTTCTTTGCACTTAAGTTTGTCAACGAGCCATGCAAACATAGAGGACAGATGTGCTACTTGACAGCTATCCATTTTGTGGGCTGAGGACATGGAGTACTGATTTTCTGAAAGAACGGGAAAAAGGAAATAAGAAAACCATGCTCACACGTAGAGAGAACCATTCACAGAGAGTGAACCCGTTACGTATCGCCATCAGCCACATGGTTTTAAAACGCATCTACCAGAGAGAGGTTTCCACACCCTTATAAGGAATGTTTAATTCCCCTCTCCAACCGATGTGAGATCTCACAATCCAACCCCCCTCGAGAGCCTAGCGTCCTCGCTGGTACACTGCCCCGTGTCTGGCTCTGATACCATTTGTAACAGCCCAAGCCACCGCTAATAGATATTGTCCACTTTGGCCCGTTACAATTTTTAAAATGCATCTACCAGGAAAAGGTTTCCACACCCTTATAAGGAATGTTTCATTCCCCTCTCAAACTGATGTGGGATCTCACAATCCACTCCCTTTGGGGGCCCAGCGTCCTCGCTAACACACCACCCGGTGGCTGACCTTGATACCATTTGTAACAACTCAAGCCCACCGCTAGTAGATATTGTCCACTTTTACCCGCTACGTATCGCCGGCAACCTCACGGTTTTAAAATGTTGGGAGAGGTTTCCACACCCTTATAAAAAATGGTTCGTTCTCCTCTCCAACCTTTGGGAGATCTCACAAAAAATATACAAATCAGGCATACGTATAATGGCCCAAAAGCTAACTCCTAGAGGTAATGGTAAAACGGTAACTAGCCAAGTATATGCCACAGCCTCATCATAAAGCTCGGAAAATCTAAAAGGATTAGACGGTTGATATTTATTCCTACCATATTCCAAGGCTTCTTGAGTCTTGATCTTCTCTAGAACTGCCTGCAGCAGATCTAAAAGCAATTCCGGCTCCTTATTTGAGATCTTAGCAATCGTAAGCTTCCATCCATCCAATACAGGGCTGCTGGATTTCTTGGATTTTTTGGGAAACGCCAAGTCCGATGACGTCATTGCCTTTAACAAGAATCCCAACAATACAGATACAAATTCTGAAGAGAATGTGGAATATAACTGAATAAGAACCTTCAGTGTCTCGGCAGCCTTTGTCTTCAAACCTGAAAAGGTACTGTTAGTATTTCATTTACTCAGCTAAGTCTAAAGATTCAAAGATAACAATGAATGAACAAAATCGGAAGGGAGAGATTAAACGCATACGTTTTGGCTTAACCAGAGCAGATTCAAGTTGAGGATTTTGCTTCACTTTTAAATTGAAAGCCAAATGACGAAGTTTGGATTTGATTTCCTTTCGAATGGTAGTGCTTATATCACCTTGAAATGGAATAGCTCTCTCCTGAGGTCCCCAATAATAAGATTTCAACCAACAAAGCGCCTGGAATCACCAAACCATCAAGAAGGTTTCACTTAAAAATACTTCTACGGGGAAGTCATATCGGTTGGGGAGGAGAACGAAGCATTATTTATAAGGGTGTGAAAATCTCTCCCTAACAAACACATTTTAAAAACCTTGAAGGAAAGCCCGAAAGGGAAAACTCAAAGAGGAAAATATATGTTGGCGGTGGGCTTGGGTTGTTGCAAATGGTATTAGAGCTAGACACTGGGCGATGTGCTAGCGAAGAGGCTGAATCCTAAAGGGGGTGGACACGAGGCGGTGTGCCAGCAAGGACACTAGGCCTCAAAAGGGGGTGGATTGTGAGATCCCACGTCGGTAATAGAGTTGAAAATCATCGAATGGTAATACAACAAGAACGTTGAGGGTTCATACTTCATAGTCATACCTTGGTTGAGGCACACCGAACCACCTGAAGAGATGGAAGTTCGCGATGAGAGCCCTCTACAACCATTGCCAAGAGAAACATGAAAATATTAAAACATTAAAACAAAGAAAAAAAAAAGATCATAAAACTGGAAAAGGAAAATGATAGCGTACAAAATGATGTTTGATATTACTCACCATGACGAATATCAATCAGCATACGAGGTAAACCAATAGCATCAGCTGCCACAGCAATTGAAACCTCTGTTTTCTTACGTGTCTTCTCAACAACACCATTTACAAGCCTTCAAAATCAAGAATACAGTGCGTTCCTTGTAACAAATTAAGAAAGTTTTGCCTCGTACTTTACCATAAAAAAAAAAATTACCTCATAATGGCCATACAATATAACATGGCTAGTGCTTCCTCTGAAAGTGAAACATTATTTAATTGTTCCTCTGTACCACGAACTGAAGCATCCACCGATTGGTTCTTTCTGCGATGAATGAATAAAAGAAAATAACGAACATTAAAAAAAAAACACCACAGAATCTTGGTTACAAAAGTAATTGTTCTTAAAAACATGGTAGTGTTAATTTCTTTTGTAACATGGTTTGGAAGTTGAGAACATGACATTAAAGAACTAAAGAACATAGCTCGAGCTGGAAACGATATGGTACAGCGAATAATAGCATGAAATGAGTAGGCAAGAAGTGGGAATCGAAGCATACATGAAGTAGGGATCTTTTTGTTGGATTTCGATAATTGATGCTGTAACTTCAACCACAACTGGAAGACATCCTCTGCTTCTCCATGTTGATATCTGAATTCAAAACCACAAGAGAATATGAGAGATACATTTATAAACTTTGATTATATTGATTGATTGTCGCCGTGGACATAAGAGAATTTCTTTGAGTTTTTTTGTTTATTTCTGTTGTGATAGGTGTGTGAGTGTAATTGATCTTGCTTTAGATACAACAATTGGTATCAAAACTTTTTTAGTTGTGGCATTGTGAAAGACTTAACATCATCAACCACGAGTTGTGCTCACACTCACCATCAATTGTCGAAGAAATTTTTTTTAGTGTCAGCTCCATTGGAGAAAATTATTTCAAATAGCAAAGCCGATACTAAATCATGGCATGGATCAAGGATTTCAATCACTGCCTCTAGGCAAATACAAAATGTCTATATCTAAACAAGACCAACCTTTATATAGTCTTACTTGTGATATCAAATTTGATCCGCATAATAGAATTTAAAATTGCAGGTTTAAATGTAACTTCGAAAATTAGAATAGTGGAGAATAAACATGCGGCGGAGATAGGTACGCTTACTCTGCTCAGAGCGGCGGCAACGGAGTCTACAGAGTCGGAGAAGAGTGAGTGACTAACGAAAAGCCATTCGCTCCAAGTTGACCAGGGCACCAATTTGCGGCTGTAAGACGACGAATTCTCTTCTTCATTCTCCGCCGGCATTCCTTCCAATTCTAACAGTGACTCCATCGAAACCTACTCCTAAAGAACTTGGTATCTCCACACACAAGTATAGCTCACAGAACAATTGAGAGCAGGTGCAGTGAAACCATGTAACGACCTAGCTTCAACTACCTAGAGACGTTTGCTAATGAGATTCGAAAATCCTTGAGAATAATATTTTTACTCAACTTCGCCTTCAAATCTAAGTTCGATTAGTCCTCAGAAGAATTCCAAATGTGGAGCAGCTCGTGCTGCCGGTGCTGGAGAATGTTGCGCCGTCGTGCGCAGTGGGTCGCCGTCTGCGAGGGTGAAGAGGAGCAAACTGTCGTCGATCGTGTAGGTAAGGCGGCGATTGCTGGTCGGAGTTGCGCTGTTCACTGTGGGCGCCGGAGAGTAGCGTGGGTCTGTTGCTGGAGGATCGCCGAAGATGAAGGAGGAGGACTGGCGGCTGTATACGTGAGGCGAGAGAAGGAGAAGAGAAAAAGAGGGCGGGATGGAATTACTTTTTTATTTCTATTTTTATGGGTTTTTCATAATTAACCCAGAACCGACCCATTTAATTGAAGCCCATTTATGGTCCGCGCCCCATGATTGCAGCCACCCTCCGGGGATTCTTCACTGTTCGCCAAGACCCAAGACGACCAGCCATCAACTTCCTGTCGCCGTGTCATGTTTGAATCCATGTTACATGTGTGTTGAGTTCGTGTTCGTGCCCGTGTTATGTGTGTTGAGTTCAAGTTCATGTTAGTGCCCGTGTTGTGTGTGTGTGTTGAGTTCGTGTCCGTGTTCGTGTTGCATAGACATAGACTAGCCTACATTACATAAAGAAATGTTATACCTTAAAAAAGCTTTAATTATCATAGAAATAGACTGTGAAGACTGGTAGAACAAATGGTGGAAAGTTGAGATGTACAGAATATCAGAGATTGCAAGGGCTGTGTCCACCCTGTAGATCCAAAGCAACTTCGAAAAGGACAAAATATAATGTTATTGCATAGTGTATTCATCTGGTTCTCCATGAAGAAATGAATATATTACAAGGTTCCATGTTTTATAAGCTAAAGAACCTACACAAAATGACGCAGGGAGGGGGAAATTGACGCATTAATTTTCCATATGATGAACATGTCTCGCTACATTTACATGCCAGTAAATGAAGATCCCGAAAAACAGCATGATATCACTAAAACATAGCGAAGTTGATTGCCTTCTTTATCTCATATCAAGGCTTGATACAACAACTCATGCAGGACAGAATCTTCTTTTTCTTCTGCTGGATTACACAAACAAAAACGATTAGGAGACATACATTCAGCAGCTACTATGTTCTACACAAATGTTCTTCACCTTCTGTTCTTAATAACTACATTCAATTCTTGTTCAAATTAGGTCAATCGGATTTTGAGGTAAAAGTGGGAAAAGAACAGATCAAAGTGGACATAACTCAGCGATTAGAAGTGCTTACCCCGACAACAGCGCCACCCACTGGTAATTGACCATGATGCGGGTGGTGGCGTTGGTGGTGATGCTGCTGTCGGTGTTCGTGACGGTGGCGATGCTGGTGGTGGCGATCATGTTTATCCGCGATGGCCATTAACTCCTTTTCATTCCCTAGGCTGGCTCTTTTGAACTCAGTTAAATCGGTCTTTTGCTGTTTCTTATTAGCACGAGCTCGAGAAAATACAACGGAATAATTGCTTGCATCAGGCGTATTATTATCCCACCCCCCAAATTCTGGAACGGATTTCCACCTATTCTGTATAAACACACACACAGACACACACCAACCAAACTTTCAGTTTCATATTCAAATAGATTCATCATATTTCTCTTCCACATCTCACGATTTTTAGCGATCTTGATTGATTTGTATCCATTACGGTGATCTTTTGCTCAGGAATCAAGAATGAAATGCAACGATTCTCTTGAATTAGGACAATAAATTTTCGAAACAACGAAGGCCAAGATTCAACAAGATTCAACGAAAACCATAATCTAAACAACGATGAATCCGTTTTTTCAAAACAAAGGATGGAAATCGAAAGAAACTGATGTGATAATCTGAACTAAATGAATGGAAGAATGTATTATCGCATTACCTCCGTACGAGAATCCATACGGCCTGAAGAGGGGAGGATGGGGTGGGAGACTGCAGCACCGAATAGAAAGTAAATGCAAGAAATCTTCAAATAAAGAGTTTCCTTCTCCTTAAATATGTTTCACAACTTCAAAAATAGGGACTTCCAAATTGGACTAAAACCAATTCCTTTATCTAAGAAAAGATTTTTTTTTTTTAATTGTGTTTTTCCACTATTTATTAAAATCGATCTCTTCTTTATTTAGCGAGAAAAAAAAAAAGATCGTTATCCATTTATGGTAAAAAATTTAACGTGAAAATACATTCCTAAATATAGAGAATTTAAAGTTTAAGTAAGGGTAAATAGAGGGAAAAAAAGTAGGATAATTTAATAATAGAAATACCTTTAAATTTTATATTTTATCTATAAAAATATGATCAACTATATTTATAAAAAATTATTTGATGGACTATATTTAAAAAAAAATAAATAAACGGTAATTTTAGTCATTTATTTTACCACGAGGAAGGTAACAGGCTAGTTGGGCCAAGTTGAACCCGGCCCACTTATTTTGGACATCCATGGCCATACAAAATGATGGGCCATTTTCGAAGAGGCTCGTTGTAGATGGACTCAAGTCCTTTGATAATTGGGCCTGTGCCCACTTTCAGAGGTGCATATGCATGAGATGATCAAGTTATCAACAAGGCCTGTGCCCAATTTCTCGCGCTCTCTTCTCCCAAACAGGCTCTTAAGGAACCTTCCTCCATAGTCCATGGCGACTCAGCTAGGCTGCCGCCGGAGGTCAACAGAGTCTTGTATGTGCGAAATTTGCCCTTCAACATTACCGGCGAAGAGATGTATGATATCTTCGGCAAGTACGGGGCGATCCGGCAGATTCGGATTGGGACGAACAAGGATACGAGAGGTACCGCCTTTGTTGTTTACGAAGATATCTATGATGCTAAGACGGCAGTGGATCACCTCTCCGGTTTCAACGTTGCGAATCGGTATCTGATCGTGTTGTACTACCAGCAGGCCAAGATGAGCAAAAAGTTCGACCAAGAAGAAGAAAGAGGATGAAATCGCCAGGATGCAACAGAAGTACGGTGTTTCCACGAAAGATAAGTAAATTTCTGGTCACGAGTGAGCGATGGTTGCTACCTTTGTTTGTTTAAGCAGTGTATTTCCTCTCTTAGGCTCGGACCTTCTATTGTGCCGTGCCATCTGACAAGCCCTTGCACAGCATCGTGTATCATAATTTGTTTTTGAAGATCAATATTTTATATTGAATACCCTGGGGTGAGAAAGATTTCTTCAATTTTCTGGAGAGAATGGATAACATTTGCCAGTGGTAAGTCAAGATTTCCTTAATTGTCTGCGGAGGGTAGATGATATTTGCTAGTGGTAAGTCCCAGCGGTATATTTGTAGAATAATTATAGTGGAGCATTTGAAAAGAAAAGAAAAAGGTGTCTAAAAAGATGATCGAAGTACATCTATTAATGTAAAAATACTCGACACGAATGAATTAATAACAATCATTAGAATAAATACATAGTATAAAATTTTCATATAAAACACAATACAATTATCCAATACTTCCATCAAAGTTTGCACATAGACCCCATTGTTGAAATGACTTCAACCGAACAATCTTTACAAACCTTATAGTTATAATTGCAAATAATGTGTGTTCAAAACCATCAGCTTTCTTTGTTCTATGAATAAAAGTAGACGTTTTGAACAAATTCAAGTTTGTAGTCCATCAGTCAACCATAAGAGCAATAATTATTCTGTCTAATGGTGGCCAAGAACAACTAAAAACATCATAAATCACCCATTAAATCCTAAGAATTAGATGTAAGAATGACCTTTCCTTTCCTTTCCTTTTCTTTCCTTTCCTTTTCTTTCCTTTCCTTTCATAAGGCATTTTCCTATCTTCGAAAGGAACCACCATTCAATTCACATTCACATTGTAAATATATGCATTAGACCCTTTCCCATTCTCTTCACATGATGAGTATTGTACAATGAGCATCCGTGAGCTTCACCCTCATAATAATTTCTCTACAGAAGAACTAAACATTCAGGTCTTCTCCTCGCCCCGACGATCAAAATCAAACGAAAACATCACGACGCTTTTTGGGATTCGCTTCTGGATTTCCTTTTCGCATCATCGCCACAAATTCATCATAGTTGATGCGACCATCCTGTACAAATTCAAAACACAGGTCAGTTTCTGGTGTCCCTCCACCTGCAGCAGTATGAGGATGTGGATCCTTAGTAACTTACATTGTCTGCATCCACTTCAGAAAGTATCTCCTTAATGTCCCTTCCATCGTGCATGCCGTATTCTCTAAGAGCTTGTTCTAACTCTTCCGTAGTGATGTATCTGAATGCATAACAAAGTTCGAGGTTCAATCATTAGTGACACTCCCTATCCATTTCAAAATGAAAACTTTAGCTATAATCGACTTGAATGCGATTCCGTTTACCCGCTGTTATCTTTGTCGAAATACTGGAAGGCAGTGTAAAGATGCTCTTCTCTATCCATTCTGTTCAGGTGCATTGTCGCTGTAATGAACTCGTCGTAGTCTATGGTTCCATTGCCATCAGCATCAGCCTGTAGAAACCACAAAAGGTAATATCCAGATTCTTCAAGCAAGAAAACTCATTACCGATTCATAGGGATTAAGCAATGACTTACGGCTTCCATTAATTGTTTAACTTCATATTCAGAGAGTTTTGTGCCTTGCTTTGCGAGTCCTTGCTTTAGCTCTTCGAGCGTTATTGTCCCGCTGTTGTCAGTATCCATGCCCTTGAACATTTGTTTGAGCCCCATGATTTCTTCCTCTGATAGACAGCCCGCAATCACCTGCCCATTTGGCACATTATATATAATTCCAAAATGCTTTGTTGTTGTTGTTGTTGTTTTTGTTGTTCATTATCACTTACCCGAAGGGCGACTTTCTTGAATTTGTTCATTGCACGGAACTGTTTGAGCCTATTGAGCACAGCATTGTCAAGTGGTGTATCAGGTGCTTCTCCATCTTCCTTAATCCATGGATGGCCTGATAGAGAAGGAATTGATGGTCATAATCCATAAACCTGCCTTTTCTCTTCCTAATTTTCCTTCATAGATTCAACCATTCTATCATACAACTTCATGCGGGGATGAACTTACTTAGAACTTGGGAGGCTGTCAATCTCTGCTTGGGGTCTGAATTCAACATCTTCCTTACAAGATCCTTTGCTGCAGGTGATATTGAAGGCCATGGATCGCTAGTAAAATCGACATGGCCACGCAAGATCGCGTTGAATATCCCATGTTCAGATTCTGTCATCCAATTTTCTCTTATCAAAAAGATCAAACCCAGCAGAGAGATTCATAAAACTAATAAACTACCTGCCCAGAAAGGTGGAACTCCACACAGTAAAATGTACAGCATGACTCCAACGCTCCAAATATCAACTTCAGGTCCATATTTCCGTTTCAAAACTTCTGGTGCAATATAATATGCACTACCAACAATATCCTTAAATACCTCTCCTATATAATAACAACAATCATACCAGAATAAGAACAACATAATCAGCCGAGATTTATAACAGAAACAGTCAGGTTATGGAGCAAACCTTGCTTATAGAACACGGATAAACCGAAATCGGTAGCTTTGAGCGGGGAATCCTCTTCCTTATTCAGCAACAGGAAGTTTTCAGGCTTGAGATCTCTATGAATAACCCCCATGGAATGACAAGTATGAACAATCTGCACAATAGTCCTGAGCAACGAAGCCGCAGCTCGCTCTGTGTAATGCCCTTTCGCTATGATGCGATCAAACAACTCTCCTCCAGCGCACAACTCCATGACTAAATGAACAGAATGCTTATCTTCAAAAGCTCCTTTAAGCTCAACAGTGTTGGGCTGACCAGTTAAATGGTGCATAATCTGGACCTCCCTTCTAACATCCTCAATATCCTCCTTATTTACGAGCTTCCTCTTAGCAATGGTTTTGCACGCCAACTGTTCGCCAGTAGTCTTGTGCGTACACAAATGGGTTACCCCGAATTGACCCCTTCCCAGCTCCTTACCAATGGAATAAATGGATCGAACATCTTCCATCGGCCGCCCTAAAACAGTTCCGATCTGAGAGGGCTTCGTATTCTTAGCGGCATCCCCCGGCGAGGCCGAAGAAGCGGCTTTATTCGATGGATTCTCGGTGGAGTTGCCCTGGTTAGAATTTCCGCCATCATCCTTGGACTTATCCGCGTTAGATCCATCCTTCACGCTGGTGGGAGGCTCGTCGGGATTTTCACGAGAGCAACAGTTGCCCATAGCGGAGGAATGGGGAGGGAGGATGGCGGCGGCGGTAAGGGTAGGGCACTTGAAGAAGACAGGATCGAATGGGTATTTGGGGGAGAACCAAAAGTGAGCAAGGGAGAAAAATCCATGTATAGAGAACGGGAAAGAAAGAGAAAAAGAAGGAAGAAAAATGGTGGAAATTGAGGAGAAGACAGCTTGGAATTCTGATCCTAACGCTGAGGATTGATAGAGAGGAATTGTAGGAGGAAGCCATAGACACGGTCTTCCTTAATCCCTCCCAGTTCCAAGGTTCTCAGCCTTTCCCGCTTCATTTTAACTGTTTTTTTCCTTTTCTATTTTTCTTCAATTTCTTTATTGTTTTTTTTTTTTCTTTTTCTTTTTCCTTTTTTTGGAACTCCTTTTTCTAGAATATCTTTTAGATCCGAAAATATGATAATATCCTTTTCTTTTCCTTTTTCTTTTTTCTTTTGTTGGGCCTAATTGGAGCTAGCCCAAATTTATATGTGAAGAAGGCCCAATTGAAAGCCCATCAAAGTGCAAAAGGCCCAATTTAATTTTTCACTGCATTTACACTTCTAATCTCCGGCGAGTCTAAGTTCCCGGATGCTTTATCGCCGCCGTAGCTGACTCCCGCGGAAGCAATTTCGCTCCGGTTGGGCAGTTCTTTTTACATCATTTTTTTTTTTAACAATATTGATTTCCTTATTATTTAGCTTTTTTTTTAATGCTTTACTTAATACGACATTAATGCATACTATAAATTGAAATAAAAAATGTTTGTTTCCTACTTTAAATTAAATTAAAAAACCAACACGTAATACTTCTGAAGTTCAAATCAAACAAAATAACAACATACCAAAATAAAAATAAATCTTTCATATATATTATATATATTTATATAAGCATTTCATTTCTGCAATTATATGGTAAATTATACAAGATTAGTTTATAACATAAACTAATTAGTAATAATAAAGATTTAAATATATTAATTCGTGCGTTTCATATATTTATTGTTCTCACAGATCATCGAGATCGTTATTATCATGACAATACGTCATCTACACTCCATGACACGAAACACAATCTTTGATCATATACGACAATATCTTGAATACGTAACCAATCATGTTTGAATGTATATCATACGTATAACGACAATATATCATCAATTCCGTAATCTAAAATGGAGTCCTTTATTATATATGGTAATATCCTAAATAGATAATCAAACACGCTCGAATGCTTTTTTACCGTTTATAGTTGATAATTTTTTTTATACTCTCGTAATATGATTGGCTACTTACATTTATCATCTCACGAGGTTAATTATGCACTTATGTTATTTTTTTTTACCACAAATGGTTAAAAGATGAGTAATTGACTTATTATATATATATTTTTTTTTAAAATTTAAAAATCAATTAAACTAAAATTTAAAATTATAGACATAAATTTTACTTAAAAAAATGTAAATGTGTCAAAATCTTCTAAAAAATTGAAACTAATTGCCATAAAACAAAAAGTTGGAATAACTTATAATTTAAGCATAAAAAAAAATTAAGGGAATTATTGAATATAAGTGACATGAAATTAGGTGTATCCCATAAAAATCAGACGAAGTCGATAAAGAGTCATGATTACGTGGCATACACGTATCGCGGAAGGTAGGCCAAAGTCAAACGGTCAGTTTGAAACGCAGGAAGAGGAAGGCTATAATAAAAAAAGAAAAAAAGAAAAAAAGAAAAATAAATACAATAATCTTATATAATGGCATAGTCCATCTTCTGCTACGGCTTTCCCTTCAAACTTTCCTCTTAGATTCTCATTTCTCTCACCAGAAGCAAACCACAGAGAGCAGAATCCAAAAAAATGCCCAAGAAATGGAAGCGAGTCGGAATCCCTAGCTGTTCAATCTGCCGAATTCAATACGACGAGGATTCTCGAGCTCCTCTTCTTCTCCAATGCGGCCACACCTTCTGCAAACACTGCCTCTCTCAAATTATTGCTCCAACTCCACCTAAACCATCTCTCACGTGTCCGAAGTGCCGCCATGTGTCTACCGTCGGCAATTCCGTGCTCTCTCTTCCAAAGAATTTCGCTATACTACCTATGATCTCTCCGGCCTCGGTTTCTCACTCTGCTGAGGTTAGCGATAGCGACGACGACGACGACGATGCTGGAGCCGATGAGGAAGGGGGCGACGGGTCTGACCGGGGGCGGAGGAGTTCCGGCTGCCATGGGTGTGGAGCGGGGTTTGGGGACCATGAATTGAAGTTGGTGAGGAAGATCGATGGAGGTAAAAGGGAGGAGATGGAGCTTTGGTCCGGTTGGTTGAGGTCTAGAGTCGGTGGGTGTCGGCACAGAGTAATGGTGAGACGGGTGAGAATAGGTAATGTTGGGGATTTGGATTGGGTGGAGAAGCAGCTGGAGAAGCTGAGGCGTGCGTCGATGTGGTGCAGGAATGTGTGTTCCTTTCTCGGAGTGCTAAAGGTGGAGGGTTATCTTTGCATTGTTATGGAGGGGTTCCCAGGGTCGGTTCAGTCGGAGATGCAGCGGAGTGGCGGCCGCCTTACTCTCGAGCAAATCCTCAGGTGACCCTTCTCTCCGTTTTGAGCTTGTTTTCATTTTGTTGGGCATTTTTACTTATGAACCTCTACTTTATAATTTCCTCGGGAGATTCACCAAGAGTTTTGTGCTGTCGCAACTGCTATCCCACTGAACTCGTGAATTTGGTGCTCACTCCGTTGTTCTGGATTTCCGCGTGAGGGATCAGGCAGTTCTATATTCCTTAGAAGCACAAATCTGCACGAATCTTTTTTATACAACTTCTGTAGTTGTGATTATTCTAGAAACTATTTGCTTCTTGTTGCCTTTCTACCTGTTTGTAATATGTATTTATGAATTCAGATTCGGAGCAGACATTGCACGAGCAGTAGTTGAACTGCATGCAGCTGATGTGTTGTGTATGAATTTGAAACCATCCAATTTTCTCTTGGATGCAAATGGACATGCTGTGGTTTCCGATTATGGGCTTCCATTGATTTTGAAAAAACCTTGTCATAGAGCAGGCATTTTCCCACCAGAACACGAGTCATCAAAACAGCATTGGTGTTTGGAGTGCCTGTTTTTGAGTCCGCACTATAGATCGCCAGAGGCATGGGAGCCTTTGAAGAGACCATTGCATTTGTTTAGGGATGATGGTATTGGCATATCCACGCAATCTGATGTGTGGAGCTTTGGCTGTGCCCTTGTTGAAATGTGCACTGGTTCCACCCCGTATGTTGCCTTTTAGTTGAACTTCTTCCATATTTTATGGTCAGTTATATTCTTAGCTAATAGAAGATGATTTCTTCAGGTGGGCTGGTCTGAGTGCAGAAGAAATTTACCGTGCTGTCGTCAAAGATGGCAGGCTACCTCCACAGTATGCAAGTATTGTAGGAGTTGGCATTCCTGGAGAATTATGGAAGATGATTGGCGAGTGCCTACAGTACAAGCCACTGAAAAGACCAACTTTCCATGCAATGCTTGCCATATTTCTTAGACATCTACAAGGGATTCACCGATCCCCTACTAGACCTACTGCGTGAGTTTCCTCGATTCATCACTGCACTTTTTTTTTTCTTCTTCTGTTGTAATACAGAAATATTTGATCATATAATCACAGTAAATTTTATTTTCCTTCCTATTGTTTTTTATTAGTTGAAAGTCCTACTTGTAATTCTATATCCCGTCCTGTGTTGAATCACTCTCTACATCAATACATTTAAAAAAAAGAAGGAAATTATACTGGGGCTTCACCAAAGAAAAAAAAAAAACAAAGAAAGAAAGAAAGAGAGAAAAAGAAGCCCACGTAGAGTTCATCCCGATAATAGAGTGATTACAAAAAGAATTAGTAAGAGAGCCATCAATTTCACAAGGTTAGCTACACTTTAACAATCTTTTTTTTTTTTTGACGTTAAATACTCGGGTGGGAATTAGTAAGAGAGCCATCGATTTCACAAGGTTAGCTACACTTTAACAATCTTTTCTTTTTTTGACATTAAATACTCGGGTGGTTTTTCAATCCAAATATTTCATATGGGGCTTTTACTGCATTTATCTTCGGAGACCCCTGTTTGTTCTCAAATTTACGGTGGTATTGATGGTGATGGTACTCACAAGCACATTTCTTTGAATTTGGAAGGGAAGAAACAAAAGAGCTTTTTGGGATGAGGAGACATCCTTCTCTTTTTTGCATTATCAGATAGTTTTTGTAGCTTTTACTTGGTATAAGCTTATAGTTTTTTTTTTATTTAAGTACAGCTGAGAGCCTAGTTTTGATTTAGGCTGATTGGAAAGTCTTCTGTATCTTGCTTAGCTAGGGCCAGGGCTTTCCTAGTCCTCACTGTTGTATGTTTGGTTATTATTATTATTTTATTGTAGTTTCTTATCTAACAAAAAAAAAAAAAAAAAGTTGATACATTTGATGCATTCGCTTTTGTGGAACTCAGCAAGGTGGCAAGTTCTCCTCATATTGATAGGTTGGAACAATCCCCTACCTCTGTCTTGGACATCCTTCAGGTCAAAAGCAACCATCTTCATCAACTTGTATCTGAAGGGGATGTTAATGGTGTCAGGTTAGGCTCTTTTGTCATATAGGTTCTCTCATTCTCTTAAATCTTTTCGATTGTTGAAATTTTCGATTCATTTAACCCACATCTGCAGAGATCTTCTTTCGAAGTCTGCATCAGGGAACAATAGCAGCTCCGTCATCTCTCTGCTGGAAGCTCATAATTCTGAAGGTCAAACTGCTTTGCACTTGGCATGCAGACGGGGTTCTCCGGAACTGGTTGATGCAATCTTGGAGTATAGTGATGCAGATATAGATTCTCCTGATGAAAACGGGAATCCACCAATAGTGTTTGCTTTAGCTGTTGGATCTGCTGAATGTGTGCGTGCACTTATCAGGAAATCTGCTAATGGTATGTTTAGGTTGATGGAGGGCTTTGGTCGGTCCGTTGCTCATGTTTGTGCATATTATGGGCAGCCTGATTGTATGCGTGTAAGTTGTTGCACATCCACCCTTTAGGCAAGTTTCTTTTCTTTTTTTGGATATATACTCACGTATTGTCAGGCTATTCTGATGATTACAGGAACTACTTCAGGCAGGGGCTGATCCCAATGCAGTTGATGATAATGGTGAATCTGTACTGCATGTGGCCATTTCAAAGAAATTTACTCATTGTGCTATGGTAATTATGGAGCATGGAGGTTGCAAATCAATGGGGTTTCTCAATTCCGCAAACTTAACGTAAGATTGGAACTGTGTTTTT